TAAAACATAACCAAAGCATCTATGCTCCATCATTCATCTTCATTCCCTTTCACCGTCCATATATGCTCTATCAAGTCAAGTTGACGGCTTTCATGAATATACGAAGATTGCATCTCTGTATATCGATCTATCATCCGGGTCATCATACGATCGTCCCTCACCAACGGTTCCGGTTCAAACGGTTCTCCATTTGGCTCCATGAGCCTTTCATAAATCCAGGTCAAGGCCGTGTTCATTGGATCCGGTTCGTAGACCTCTCCAGCATGATAATCGTACTCATCCTCCACAATCATATTATAGAGGATAATGCAAGTCATCATAATGCTTCGGAGGATCTCTTCATCAAACATATGGGCCGCACCTCGAACAATCAACCACCGAGCTTGGAGGATGCCAAAACACCTTTCGACATCTTTCATGTATCCCTCTTGATAGGTAGCAAATAATTTTTGCTTCTGGAATCGGGGATTCGGAATGGATTTGACAAATGTGGTCCACCTTGGGTAGATACCGTCAGCTAGATAATACCCCGTCTGGTAGACTGTATTGTTGACTTGATATGTAATATTGGGGCCTTGGCCTCTCAAAACATCGTTGAAGATCGGAGATTGACCCAGGACGTTGAGGTTATTTTGGGCTCCGGTAACTCCGAAGAAGGCATGCCAAACCCATGTGTCGAACCCAGCAACGGCTTCGAGGATGATACTTTTTTGGCCTTTTCTATTTCCGTAATCACCTTGTAAGGCAGTTGGGCAATTCTTCCATTGCCAATGCATGCAGTCAATGCTACCAATCATTCCTGGAAATCCTCGAGCTTCGGCTTTTTGTAGAAACCGTTGGAGGTCCCTGGGAGTAGGTCTACGCAGGTAGTCCCAAGTGTACAAATTTTCAACTGCATCACAAAATCTTACCAAAGCCTCCAACGTGGTGGACTTCCCCATTCGGGCAACCTCATCCATCTGATCAGCAGATGCTCCATACGCCAACATTTGTATAACAGCTGTAAGCTTTTGCTCCGGAAGAAGCCCCAAAACCCCAACAGAATCACACTTTTGAACAAAGTATGCATCATAATTGCAAATATCATGCATGACTTTATTGAACAAATGGGGTTGCATTGTAAATCGCCTTCGAAAATCAACATCAGAGTACAAAGCAGTTGAGATAAAATAATCTTCCAAAAGATTCTTACCCCGAGAATGCCTATGTCTGTCCACATTCCAGCGACGGTTGACTTGCGAACCACGACGGCGACCTTGGTTTTCTTCCTCTTCCATTGCCATTGCTATGAGAACTTGTTCATCAACTTGTCTCTGCAACTTATTGATTTCATCGGCTCTACGGTTTCTCTCATTTCTTTCTCGCTCTTGCCTCTCCAAGCATCTCTTATATTCTTCCATTGAGAATGAATGGAGTATGAATTCTAAACTCTAAGAATTGAAAATATAGAAAGATGTGGTGTGAGAGGTATGGGTGGAGGAGCCTCTGGTTTTATAGAAAAATTTGGCAAGATAGAGATGACACGTGACTTGATTTCATTGGATGAAAATCTTATATGAAATTTGAAATTCATTCGAAATTTGAACCCAAATTTATCCAAAATTTGAACCCAAATTTATCTGAAATTTGAATTTTAAAATTCATCCGAAATTTGAACCCAAAAATCTTATCCCGAAATTTTATCCGATTATGAATAGTCTTGACACGTAGGAACCCGGAAATCTTATACGAAAATATTATCCAAATTAATTATTGAGGTAAAAAAATTTGTGAATAAAACAAAAAAAATGAATAGTAATTGCCCTTAGCCATGACAACGGGTGGAAATATAAAATATTATTTGCAAGGGCAGCCACTATTCACATGAATAGTAACTGCCCTAGCTCCCCCCTTGCCATGACTAAGGGTAAATGGGTGGAGTTGCTCTAACAGTACTAAAAATGATCAATTTACACCTTCTATTAAGTTGACTGTCTGGTCAAATATTAATCGATGGCGTGAATATATGACGTGGATATTATAAGACCCACATCATGAATTGGTTGTCCAATCTCCTTAAAAAAAAAACTGAAAATCAATTACATAAACTAATACAATTAATTTAAAACAAAAACCTATCCAGCCACATCACCATTGGCCTCCCAAACAACCTCTCTCTCTCTCTCTCTCTCTCTACCTCAAACATCACCCCAAACCCAAAACTCAAATCCACGCCACAACAATGGCTGCCTCCTCTTTAGCTTCAACATCACAACTACCATTAATCTAGTTTTTGGTTCTACCAACTAACATAAATCTTTAATATAAAGAGGGGCAAACTGAAATAATAAGATCGAGAAGCCCCCAACCCCGTCCTTTACGGCCGTCACAGCCCTTGGGAAGTTCGAGAAGCTCGGCCCTGACATCTCCAGCCTCACCCTCGAAGAGGCTTGCATCCTCATCGACTTCCTCCAAGACAAGCTCGGCGTCTCCGCCGCAGCTCTGGCTCCAGCCGCTGCGGTTCCAGAAGCCGATAAAGGCACCATCGTGGTGGAGGAGAAAAGAGGAGAGAGAGAGAGAGAGAATTTTATTATTTCATGTAATTGATTTTAAGGTTTTTGTAAGGGGATGGTCAGCCAATTCAAGAGGTAGGTCCCATAATATTCATGTCATCTATTATGTTTGATCTCACAGTCAACTTAACGAATGATGTAAATTGGTCACTTTTAATAACGTTTAGGGTGTAAATTGATGAAATTGAAATCTCGTGACACATATTGAAAATCACCTCAAAAGTCGAGGGGTGAAATGATGTTAGCTATAGTTAAAATAACATTAAGGTGTAAGGAGTTTGTAGCTCAAATACTTTAAAGCGAAATAGAGTTTCGATTTCTCTCAAGCTATTGCTACATTTTATATATTTAATATACAACATACAAATGATCTAAAGTGACGGTCAAGGAAAAACATAATAAGGGTTATTTATTTAATTGGTCCTTAAACTTATACTCGAGTTGCATTTTGGTCTCTCAACTAAATTTTTCGTTCAAATGGTCAATCAACTCTTTATTAATAGGTACATTGGTCATACCGTTACATTTTTTGTTAAATTTAGTCATGTGAGCACATGTTACATTTGTGGGGGTAAATAAGACTTTTAACAACTAAAAAAATAAAAATAAATGATAAAAAATTAATACAAAATTTTCTTTATTTGTGGGGGAAAAAGCCAGAGACTCATGCTGCAAATCCACTACTCGTTTCTACTATCTTTGTTTCACACCTTCAAAGTGAGGAGGTGAGAGCTCTCTCTCTCTCTGAACAAACCAAGAGCCTTGCAGCCCCAGTAAAAGTTTGAAGGTAGAAATAGAGGAAGATAGAGGGACAGAGGAATAAGGAACGGGGAGGGAGGGTGGGCTGTGGGGAGGAGATGGGGCGTTGGGGCTGGGAGGTGGGTGTTTACCAAAATAAGAATTAGTTAGCTTAGCTTCTAGAATTGGTTAGCTATCTGTTATTAACTAAGCCACGTGGGTTTATCACGTGTAGCTCACAGCTGTAACAGCTGTAATATTCATGTGAGTTAGTTACAGAGCTTACTTAGAGATTAAGCACAGCTCTGCTGTATATAAAG